CATCCTTATAGACCTGTTGCTGCTGTTTTCTCCGAGCAACTCCTCTTCCTCGGAGCCTTCAGACATGTATCCATTAATCCATCCATTGCTTTAATGCTGGAAGCGCAGGGCGAGCCTGTCATCTAAACAAAAAGCGAGGCACAAATGCAGAAATGAGGCTGGATCGAGCTATGTTATGTGTCTCCTCTCAAAGAAACAGCTCCTCTCCTCATGCTCCCTTACTTGCTGCCTCCTACTCATTATCATTCTGTTTCTCTATCTCTCCCTCAAGAAGCACGCACGCTTGCTCCTGCTGCATGGCAACCACTTGTTAGTCTCACTCAGCTGCTCTGCTGTCTCACTCATTCACAACACCCTCCCCCCCCCCCCTTCTTTCAGCAACACCAGTAACAGATGCAGCAGCAAAAACAAGTTGCCTCCTCTTCTTTTTCTTCTTTCTCTCTCTTCACTCTCCCCTCCCTGGCTTATTTGGCTTTTCTAAAATTACTCCACCAAAATGTGACAGGAATACCATGGCTTAGCCCGGACTAGAAATGCTGCCTCTCACTGCTCCTGGCACAGTAAATGATGCTGCAAAGGGTAGTTTTGGTACAGCACAGCATTATCCTGCAAGCCTTGTTTGATGATGTGTTTTTAATTGGTGCAGTTTGCTGTGGTCAAATTGAATTAGCCTCTCTGCTTTTATGCTTACGAAAAGTAAGGTCCCCAGACAAGTAGGGGGGAATTGGAGTGAACTAAAAGAAGTATTGTATAGGTCGTCTGATACCCCAGTGTAAAAGAATGCAGCAGTGAAGTGTCAAGCCATCGCTTTTGTTGGTATGCAGCGCAAACTCATATCAGCAATCTGGTTCGTCTCACAGTGGTGCAGTGGCTCGGATCTAAGGATAACCTGAGCCACAAGGGAGATGGTCATCACTTGTTTGATGTACAATAATTCATGGCTCAGAGAAGAGAGCTCATTTTTTCTTTTTCCAGTTGTACACAGCAGAGACAATCCCTCTGAGAATCCAAGCACAGCCATGAACTGCCTCCCTCACATTTACTTTTGCTTCATAGTTGAAAAAGTTTTTAATGCCTCTGCAGTGTCTTTTGATCTCTCTTTTTTTTCTCCTTGGGTCAGTAGCAATTTTTTCTCCTGCTGTGCTATTAATTCTTGGATGTATTTGGGAAGAAAAGGAGACTACAGCACCGCAGTGATTTATCGACTGACTCAGCTTCTCATAAGCACATTTTTATTTCACATTTATTTCAAGGACAGTTCTTGTAAATTGGATGAGGAGATGTAACATTGTACAGCCAATAAAACTATTAGACATTACCTCACTGGCCTCATGTCAATTAAAAAGACAAGGTCAGAATGGAAAACTATTGGGACACACTCACAGCACAATAGTGCTGCAGATAGTGTGATATTAATCCAGATGAATTTGCTGTAAAAATGGAAGTCATTGGAATGTTTTTATAAAAATGAACACAAGTTATATCACTAACATTGGGATATTTGCTTATGAACTGCCTTTATCATATCCGTCATAATCAGGACAAGCAGATGTGCTTTGGCTCATGGGTCAAGGTGTCCTCATGTGCTTTGAACCTAGGACAGTCTTAACCTGTTGCATAAAGTATAGACTCCCCGTGGCCATAGGACAAAAGGATAAAGACTGTTAGACCTTTATTTCCAACAGGCAAGAGGTCAGGAGCAAAGCTGATATTGAACACTATATAACAATGATTCCCTTTCAATGTTAATGAGCTGTACACCAAGCCCTCCTGTGATAATACAATCTGAAAGACAGATGCAGTGGAAGTACAAAGATTTTAAATACCTCATTAGGCCGCCCCATTACCCTGACTCCAGCAATTACTGATTCCTCGGTGGGCCAAAAACTTATTTACATTTCTATAGTCCATTGTAAATTAGATTGTCATCTGCAAATGATAGCTATTAAGTACAATGGAGGATTAGGGCCACGTAAAAAAAAAAAAAAAAAAAAATTGAGATTAAAGTCATAAATATACAAGAATAAACTCGTAAATTCACGAGTTCGAGACCAAAAAAAAAGTAGAACTCTGAAAGTCTTTAAAGACTAAAAGAATAAAGTCGTTATTTTAGTCTATATCAGAAGAGCAGCAGCATCCTGTTCTGACAAACATGGAGCATCTTGTCCTAAATGTTTCACTGATAAGGAAATAGGGTACTTCCTTGTGTAGTCGGTAAAAACAGTTAGTTCAAGAGAAGTTTTCACTTCAACTTGCAAGACCTTGTTTATCTGTTAAATGATGTATGAACAGGACACAAACTGGCTCTGCACATGAGACACTTTAACAAGGCAGACCGATAACAGACACAAATAGTTGTGTTGGGGCTTTACTTATGCAGATATGCAACTACACATGCTTTTGGCACATCATCATCTTCACATTGTCATAAAATATCAGCACTCTGAAAAGATACTGCAAGAAACTGTGGCTTTTCAGAAGAACCACACTGACTTGGAGGAAGTTGTCTGCAAGTTGTCTGAGGAAAATACTTTAAGAGTTCTACTCTTAAAGTATTCTAATCTCATAAATTTATGACTATAATCTCGAAATTAAAAAAAAAAAAAAAAGTTTAACGTGGGCCTAATCCTCCGTCATAATTAAGAATATATATGATCTTAAAAAGAGCTCAACAAAAGTAAGGACATTTGTGTTTGGTAGATTCTTTTTTGCTGTAACAATGCTTCTTGGCAATAAATCTTATACCGTTGGAAATCCTGTTCTTTTCCCTTTTAAATGGTGCCACATTTGTAAGGAACATTTGTAAAATGTGGAGAAGATGCAGAGAACGCTCTGCTGATTGCTGCACTGATAGGCTACCTGATTGTCAGCACCTGGGGTATCATAAGCTCAAAACAAGAGTAAATAGCAACAGCAGAATAAGCTGTTCGGCATTGGCAGAGAAGATTTGGCAAGTTTTTCAAGGACGCAACCCACATACTCAGCTCTGCTGCTCATCCCACAAATGCATGTTCCTTACAAATCTGGCACCATTTAAAAGGGAAATAAACAGGCTTTCCAACGGTGTAAGATTTATTGCCAAGAAGCATGTTTACAACAAAGAAATAATCTACCAAACTCAAATTCTTTACTTTTTGTGCGATGTTTATAGTTATGGAAGAAGTTGCAAATATATAGTTATTAAAAAATGATCTTAAACATGTTTAAGCCTATGTATATATGGGGTCAGAAACAGACTTAATGTTTTCATAAACAAGCTTTAAATAAAGTATAGCTTGGAGGAGTTATGCAGTCTATAGGGGGAGGGCTAAATTGGGGAAATGTGAGTTCATCACAAACTCCAATATTCACTTTTTTGTTGTCATTTGATCTGGTTGTCCTGTTTGACTGAATTGTTTCTTTAAACTACCGATGAAAGTGTCCTCATGTTTCATTTCTTTGTTTGGTTTTTACAAGTGCATGAAATTTTCTGTAGTGTTTAAAAGGAAACCACTAATGGGAGGTCTTACTGTTTCTGACAAATATTATCACAGGTTCAAGTCCAGTTTCCACAAGAAAAATATGGCCTCAAAATTAGCTGAATGATTGAAGCTCTATAGTAATGTGAAATATGCTGCATTCATCTGTGTGTTGTGTGACGAAGTCAAGCCATCAAGGAAATGCATTTTCATTTTTAATGATCGGATTTTCATCTACAGATTAACACATGTACTTTACTCCATGTTAAAGGTTAACTTTTCTGCTATGTAACAGGTCAACAAGATTTACAGTCATAACTGGAAACTGTAGCAACTGTATCGATTCCTGAATGAAGTGAAAATTAGTTTTCAGCAGATAGGTCACATTGGTTTTTGAGTTATGCTATGCAGAGGGTAGCCCTATAACTTCTAGAATTAGAATAACCTTAATATAGCCCATATGTAAAACCCATATGATAGACAAGCTCTCCTATGGATGAACCTTAAAGTATGCCAGTTGTATGCGGCAATGCAACATTATGGATGCCAACCGCCTTTAAATTTAATCGAAGAAGATGACTTGCTGAGCAGAGAGTCAAGTTGCAAAGTATTGTTGACATTGAATGTATTCCTGCAATGAATGAGCATTACTCAAATAGTTTCAGGAATTTCAGGAAAGTAGCTCATCTGCACAATATCATTTGCAAAACGACATCTGGAGAGTACTGCCCTACAAAGGCAAAAGGCAGTAACTTCAATTTTTTCAAAAATTAGTTTTTGTCATTTTTGGAGCATTACAGATGTGCTTTATTATGAGGACAGATATATTGAGTCAATTGTGTGTTTTTTTTGTTTTTTTTTAGAAAATAGTAGGTTGTATTTGCCTTAACTTCCAAAAGCCCTCGAGAAACCAAGGCAGAGTGCTGTTGAGTGCAGTGAATGCCTTTTGCCTTGGCATGACCCGTTATTATTGTACAGGCAATGCAAAGGCAGAGTACCTTAACTTCCAAATAAGGGTCAAAGGTCATGTTTGAGCTAAAGATTTTTATGAACATTAATAACCTCATTAAAAAGACAAAGAATTGCCACATTTCCAATATTCTGCCTGCAACTCATTTGGCTGGACAACAAAAAGACTTTAAAGTCATTTTTCTCAGTTCTACACTCTGGCTGAGTTAAGGTCTTTTGCCTTTGTAGGGCAGAGTAGGCTTCTTTATTTAGGGACTAATTGATTCTGGATAATTGTTCAGGTATGTGCCTCAAGTAGGCCTACCAGGATCAAACTCGGTTTTACAGGTCTTGCCTAGGTTTTAGGTTTTTTTTGTGGGGGCTTGTGGTTTAGTATGGTATTTTAATGCAACTTAAGGTATCAAATTCTACTCTTACTTTTTAAGCCACTCTATCATTCTCTTATTAGGCTACACACTGACTCCTGCGACCCGTCAACTTGCCGCAGGACAATCATGTTTGTGCACTACCTTTTCGAGTGTTGCCGATCGTTCCACCGCGGCTGCCTAGCAACATCTCCCAACTCTCGCGTTGACGGCACAAATCCCACTGCACATTTTTGAACTGCGTAGAGAGACCGGAGAGATCGTGTGTAAAGCAGCGTGTGGCAAGATAATCTTCCAAACATGGCAGATGTTGTTATTCTCGACGAAGAGTCAGCGCAAGAGGAATCCACCATTGATGAATCCGTCAAGTCCGAACCCGAGGAGACATCTGAAGAAACACCCAACGGCGTGAAACCGTGAGTGGGAAAAAAAAAAAAAAACCTGCAACCTTTAGCTAAAATGGTGTCCTGTGATGCTAGCCATTGTCAGCTAAGACGCCTCTTACTTAGCATCCGCTGTCCAACGTAGAAAACAATGCAATTTTATCGTAACTGACTAAAGGTTTTGAAGCCAACACAACACAGCGAGTATTTCACAACCCTTAACAATATATTCTCCACTGTGCCTTTTTTTTTTGTCCATAACATCCATACCTTTGCTGCTATCGATTTAGCCTAGTGCTAATCGCTGTTGTGTTACGCTAGCATGCTCTTGATTGAAACTCTTTTTAAATCCTCACGGAGAAATGTTACAATCTTCCAAGTCGATAAATTCAACATAATTTAAGTAGTTGTAGACGGCGATACCAGCAAGGTAGCATCAACAACCCTGTTAAACTTCAGTGGGATGTGCACGTTTAACTGTGCAGAGCTAATGTTAACAATAACGCGCCTTTAGCTGCTAATGGCTGCGCTGCACAGTAATAATAATAATAATAATAATAATAATAATATCGTTATTTATTACTTTGGATATTTAAGTGATGTTTTTATGTGCAATTGGGGACAAGTTTTGATAAATTTCCTAAAATACAAAATGCAAGGGGCTACGAAATACACTTGATGTGAAGTCTTCAAGACATTAATAATTTAACATATTTCCTATGAATACCTTGTTTACATTTAAGATAAGATAAGATATACTTTATTCATCCCAACAGGGAAATTTAGGTGTTCCAGCAGCCAGCATACATACAAACACACAACACAACACATATATACATACATATCCCACCCATACAAAAAAAAAACATGATCCCACAATACAGTTTGATATATGATATTTGCAACTCAGGCTAAAGTTTAAATGTTTAAATGTCTTCTGTCCTTACTTAAAGGGAGTCGTTAATTATTTAAGTTTTTCATTCGTACATATTCAGTTTTTTTTGCGATGCTTTTTAGGTTCAGTGGTAAATCGTGTATAGGTCTATTACTCTTACATTTTTTTTTTTCATATATGGTTCAATAAAGGTGTTTTAGCTTTTATCCATACAAAGTAGGGCTGGGCAATATGGACCAAAACTCTTGTCTTGATATTGAGTAGCTGAATGGCGATACTGGATGTATATCGATATATATTTTATTAACAGTGAAGACACATGGGGAAAAATAAACTACCTGTTTGTGAATTTAAAAAGTATTGTTTTAAAATAAAAATGTTCCTTAAATACAATAAAAGAGGGATAGACAGTCAGGGCGCGGTCACACTGGCCATCCGTACCGTGCTGTATCCAAGCACGATTGCGCCCCCTCGGAGAACAACACAGAGCATGACAGCTGCTTATTGGCTTATATATTGCCAAAGCACACCTCTCCGAAGTGTGCCAAAGCCAAGGAAGTGTGCCGTGCCTGAGCACGATACGGAGCGGTCACACTGGTCAAACGAACTGGACTTTACCGTTGAAGCGTGCTTGGGCACGGTACGGCTGGCCAGTGTGACCGTGCTCTGAGATGAGAAAAGGGTGACATGGCACCTCTATAACGTTATTTTAATGCAACATAAACTATATTGATATTAGCGATATTGCCTTACCCTATATCTTATCGAAAATATATCGCTATATCTGAAAAACTCGATATATTGCCCAGCCCTGATACGAAGTTTTACATTTAAGTACTTAATCATTGTTATTATGCTACTTCGAGTAGCTACCAGATTGTTTTTTCCTTGAGGCAACTGTTGTGATTTGAATACCTTTCATAGAGCCTACCAATTCATGTTAACCTGATATAACTAACATATTTATGTATTCTGATATATGGACAGGAATGTGTGATTTTGAGATTGGTTGTTCTTTGTCTGCAACTTTGTGTTTGTTTTAGGGAGGCTGATGATACTAATCCTGCCAAAGACAAGCATGAGTCTAAAGAGAAGAACTCTGGGAACAGAAGAGGAAGCCGCTTCCATCCTTACAAAGAGAAACATGGTGGAGAAAAGAAGGGTTCTCATAGGAACCGGGTGTTCATCAGCAATATCCCATATGATATGAAGTGGCAGGCAATTAAAGATCTAATGCGTGAGAAAGGTAATGTCCCCAGTGATGGGGATGGTCTCTTCCCTTCTCTCTATCTCTTCAGCTGATTAGAAGTTATTGACATTTTTACTTTGATGGAGCATCTTGCTTCTTGCAGTAGTAAATTAGTTTGTAGCTTTCCATGCAGATAGTAGGGAATCAACTTAGTGTGATATTAGGTTATTGGAGTTTTCAATTAAATTTTTTGGATGGGCACCAATTTAGTTTGGGCTGATATGTCTGTGAGAAATGGAAGATAAACTGAGTTACATTGTCACTTGTTTTTATGGCATTGTCAGCTCCAAAATGTAACCTCAAATGAGTAGTAGAATTGATTGTTGAATGATTTTGTTGATCTGTTGCTTGGTAAGTTTTGATGATATGAATGAAAATATTGTAATGTTTTACTTTCTGAATTATGGGGGTTTAAAGAAGCCTTTTGAAAGGTCAAAGGACAGCTTAAAACTCTCAACTGCTATGAATGGAATCTGTTGACAAACTGATCATGTCGAAGTCTTTTGAATTTCCCAGGTTTAATGTAGCTGTGTTTCTCGCTGGCCTTGGCCTTTGGGTGTCTCAGTCACTGCCCAGAAAGGCATGGTGTTGTCTGGTGGGATGTTGGTCTGGGCTGACTGTTGATCATTAATGGGAAATGTCCACCTGTAGCGGCATTGCCAAGGCCTACGGTGACTTGAAGACTTGGTGACTTAAATTCCTTTGTTCTTTTGGTATTTTTCCTTTTGTATGTCTCATGTAGTTGGTGAGGTTACATACGTGGAGCTCTTTAAGGATGCAGAAGGAAAGTCAAGGGTAAGTGATGTGGCCAACTTGCTGCACGAGGTTTTAAATGCCCTCAGCAGGCTCTTATCAATCAAGTGCTCTCTTAGGTTTTGATCCTTTGGGTCTTACTAAGTCACTGAACTGGAGATACTGAAGGTTGTGTTTAGAGCCTGATAGATGGCCAATGATTGATATTCATTTGAAAGGGAGATGTCCTGTTGATTTTGGAAAACTAGCCTAACGAACTCATCTAAGAGTACATTTTGCTTTTGTTGTTGTTATTTCAATTGGTGTAAAAGTTTGTTTGTTTGGCCATTTTCCAAAGGGAAATGTGGGTTGTGTGATTTGTCTTATCGATTAACCCCCATGTCTCCAAATCTTTTACAATTCTGTTATATGGCACAGCTCTCTCTTCAAAGGAACAAACAGCCTTGAAAGATAATGTAATGATTCATTGTTATGTTTATATATAAAAAATGGAAGTCATGCATTTTATAGAAACAAATGTGGACCACACCATTTTTATTAAGTAAGTTGATAAAACGTACCCCTAAACATTGTACTAAATATGTATTTTAGTGTCTTTATTATTTTCTACTTCAGAATTTATACCCAGTTCAAAACACTCAAATGTTTTAGCTAGACTGCAATGCATAGGAGTAAATGTTTACTGAATATTTTAAAGGACATTGATATTTTTTTTCTGTTATTATTATTATTAACTATTAAATGTCAACACTCAGTTTAAGAAAATAATAAAGGTAATGTCTTATCTGTCTTTGAAGTAATGTCAATTTTAGACTTAAACACAACCAAAAGTGCTGGTGCAAGCCAGTGCAAAAACTGTCCGACAGGCACGGAGTACAATTTCAGAAGCATGTGAATACATTCAATTAAAAATGTTCTTTTGCTTGTTCCAAATATTAATTGCACTCTGTTTGCTCCCTCCACTATGGACATCTGTGCTACCTGGATTCCTATGTGGCCTCCATGTGCAGGGTTGTGGGTAAGGAATTCTTCAAATCTATCAAACATTCAACTTTTTATTTTTTTTACATGAGATGTTTTATTTCTGACATGTGCTCATCAGATATCTGTGTTTCCTTCATTTAACAGTGTGGTTGAGTTCAGAGATGAGGAGTTTGTGAAGAAGGCAATAGAAACAATGAATAAGCATGACCTGAGTGGAAGGCCACTCAACATCAAGGAGGTGAGAACAAATGATAAATGTTAAATGTTGCATTAGAGTAGTGGATAATAAGAACTGTTTTACCGTCTTCATGTTGTGTTCTATAAAGTTATGAAAAATACATTATCTTAAATTACAATGTGGAAGCACTGTAGATAACCAAAATAGCCCCCAATGACAGATGGTGTGTTTAGGTCTTCTCTGTTTACGTCAAAACCAGTCTGATTCTATTGTTTCCAATTGGAAAGACCTAACTTCCTGCGAGCAACACGGCACAGTGTTTCTGTTTTCCTATCTGTTGCTTGCGTAGACGGACGAGGAAGGGGGGGGGGGGCTCTACACTGCTTACACTCGCTTTTCTAAGTCAACAGAGCCTTTTAGCTCGTCTTACATAGTGGTGCATTAATAATATCTACATCTGTGATCGAAATGTTGAGCTTTGACTTGTGTCAACAACACCGGAGAAAAACGTTTTTTTTTCGGCTCACCGCAACCATTTATTTATGTGCCTCTGTGTGTTGTGATTTGAGTCTAAATAAATAAAAAGCATCACATTCCAGTTTCACCTTCAATACAAAAGCACTAGATGTCATATTGTTTGCAAGGGGAAACTGAAAATCACAGAACAAAGAATTCTATATTTAACAGATGCAGTGTAGACAGCCAGCGTGCGATCATGCTATTAGGACATGGTGTAAGTGTTCATAAATAATTGCAGGAATCGATAGCACCAAAGTACGAAAGTTTGATGGAAAACACACACTGAGATACTGAATTTGTCAACAGGTATCATGTAATGCATAATAGTCTTATACTCGACTTGATTCTTTGGGTATGTTGAGATGGCACATTAAAGTATTGCAATCGATGTTTTTTTTAGGACCCTGACGGAGAACATGCTCGGCGTGTGTTGCAGCGCATGGGAGGAGGTCAACAGGGAGGTCGTGGGCAGGACATGGGGCCTGGTGGGATGAACATCCCTCACTCCATCACCAACAACCCCAACATCCCACATGACATTATTCTTGCTCTGCAAGCTGGACGATTGGGCAACACAGTGTTTGTGGCCAATGTGAGGACATAGTAGTAAATACTTTCCAAGTCTGGCTGTTGTTAACGATTCATCTCTTAAAAAGGTGTAGAGGAACAAAGGGGGCTTTGGCTCTGTAGAAGAGTCGTTTCTCTCTCAACTTGAAGGTCGCATGTTGAAGTGTCCTTGGGCCTCCCGCTGCTATGATGGTAGCATACATGCCAGTGGGGCAACAGCACGGATAGGCAGTCAGGCTTTTCTCGTAACATCCTCTGCCAGGTGTAAACTTAGTATAAATGGGTGAATGTGACATGTAGTGTAAAAGCACTTTGAATAGTGAGATTAGAAAAGTGCTCCAAGTCCACAAGCTATTTATCATTTACTTTGTTTTACAGCTCGATTTCAAGGTGGGCTGGAAGAAGCTGAAAGAGGTGTTTGGAATGGCAGGTGTGGTGAAGCGGGCAGACGTGAAAGAAGATAAAGATGGCAAGAGTCGCGGCATGGGAACAGTGACTTTTGAGCAGCCACTGGAGGCTGTGCAGGCCATATGTATCCTTCAGAGTTTAACACTTGTGTAGAAAAGCACTGAAAGCAATGCTTTACATTTCATAGAGACCTTCTCCTTGACTCAGGAATCAGCCATGTTCAATGGACAGATGCTGTTTGACAGACAGATGCATGTTAAAATGGTATGTTGTTTTAAGTTATTGTATCGAATTTCTACAGAGAATTAGAAACTGGACTTCCAACATTTATGTGTTGCTTTTACAGGATGAAAAATCTCTTCCCCCTGATGATTTCCATCAAGTAGAGAAATCTCCTCAGTTACCACGTGAGTGCACTGTAATCCTCTTGTTAGTTTTGGACACAAAATTCACATCCATAGTAATAAGCTCAGTGAATTGTGTGTAGGGTGGATTTTGTCAGTTTAAGAGTTGTTACCCTCTGGGAGCAAAAGGCACAATATTTGAAAGTGTATGTATTGTTTAGAGACGTTACAAAGGCTTAGATACAAATTATTCAAATGCAAGACAAAAATGCATTATGGCAGGCTCATTTTCTGCTCTTGTTGTCCATATTTCTATCAACCCTAAAATGAATTTGTTCAAACTTTTCTTTGTGTTGGTTTTTTGTGTGCAGGGGGTCTTGGTGGCATTGGGATGGGACTGGGACCAGGGGGGCAGCCTATAAATGCCAACCGTCTGAGTGGTGGAGGAGGAATGGGCTCCATGGGGCCTGGAGGTGGAGGTCAGGCACTTCTCAAATATTATTTGTGATTCTTGGGTAGAAAAGTCCCACAAGTGCTTCTTTGAGTTTATTACATGCTGTGTTGGAAACCAGTCTGTCCCTTCAGGCACATGCTTCTCAAAGAGAGGCAGAGACATCTCTGCTAGCTTATCAACACATTGTCCAATGATTAAACAACTTTCAATATAATTCAGTTCTGTTTAATGTACCTACAAACCAATAGACACAGGTAATGTGTAAACCACTCAGTCATTGACACTTGGCTGAACCCTTTCCTGGCTCATCTCTTGACCCTGCGGTCATCTCAGTGTGGGTCAAAGAGATAAGAGAAGCGGAGCTCCTACCAGCTGAAATACAGAACTTTTTTTGTAATGCCATGTTCCAGGGTCTGACTGTGTGCCTTTAAGTAATGTATGTTCAGAGTTTGGAACAATCAGGCTACAAACTTTACACAATTGTGTGTTTTATAGATATGGCCAGACTGACCTCATCTTCTGCCATAGGTATGGATGTTCAAGGTGGTGGTGGAATGAACAGACTTGGAGGAGGTCAATTTTTCCTTTTGAAAATTATTTTCCAGCTTTTTTTGAGGGAAGGAATGAACACTTACAAAGTGTGTGCGTCTGTTTTCAGGAATGAGTGGCAGCGGGGGCTATGGGGGTATGGATAACATGGGCAGCATGGGCGGTTTTGGAGGGAGAGACATGGCACCAGTTGGAAGGATGGGAGGTAAGTGAGCGTATTCTTTCATGATATCGAGAGAATTGGTTATACTACAAATATTTAAATTCACCTTTGTGTTATTGGCATCTTGAGTTCAAGGTTTTCCTCTTTATTTAGACATGTTCCGGTCAGGAATGGGGGGAATGGATCGCGACTTTGGCCACAGTGACATGTCAATGAACCGAGGATTTGGAGATTCTTTCGGAGGAATGGGTAAGTTACCAGCTTACCTCAGGCAAAGCTCATTCCAACATACTAACTCCCAGACAGAGAGGAGTGTATGCATGTTATTCTTTCTAATTTGGTTTTGTTTTGATAGAATTAAGGGATTGTTTTGTTGTTGTTTGTGCTCTTCTCTTTACACGCTGAGTGTTTATTTGCTTGTCACTAAACTGTTGAACTATGGTCCAACCTAATCTTCATGAACTTTCCTGTAGGTGGAGGTTTTGGCGGAGGCATGAGCAGTGGTGGCATGGGGCATATGGGAACTGGACTAGGTACATGAATTATTCCATTCACACCTTTTCCGAATCTGTCATTTATCACTTCTTCCTTTAAAGATACACACCAGCTTTGGAGGTTCTTCTAAGATTTAGTTGGATCTGTAGCAGAGCGGCATGCCTTTTTATTATTAACATTTAAAGTTAATAGCCCTAACAGTTTTATAGTTATTTAATGGTTTAAACTGTCAATAACTTAGAGGCATTAGTATAAGTAAAGCATGATGTACACAGTCATTATGTGTCATGCTTTGCTTAATACATGATGGGTAATAAGCTGCTGTTTTGTCACATAATCAACATCCTTTTTCGCTCTGGTTTATGATGCATGCTGAGGGAGGATCAATGCTATTTACATTGATAACATAAGTTATAGTGTTGCTGCAACCAAGAGTCTGTATTTCACTTAGTTTTTATTGCGAGACAAACTGCCAGAGAACCACAAAGACTTGATGATCTTGATTTGAATCACATATAAATGACACTTGGCTGTTACAGATTAACCCATCAGGTGGGACAGTTATAACATGTTTTATCAATGACACTGTCAATCATTATAGTATATAGCACCACATTCAAATCAATTGCAATTCAAAGTGCTTTACAGCGACTGAAACCCAAGAAAGAAAATAAGCTCATCAGTCATGTGTGGCATTGCCTTTTTGACGCTCTATTTTTCTGTAAAGAAGCCTCTGCATGATCCTGTTAACCTCATAATTTACTGAAGAAGTGTCTTTCCATATGTTGTGCTATTGTTGCTATACCTCACTGTTACTGGCACAGCAATAAAAGGAGTGATGTGATTGGATTAGAGTTTATTTTTTAATCACCACAACATCCAATCACTGTTTAAGGTAGCCTCCTGCCTTTCGCACTGCTAGATGAGTAAATCCAAATGGCACCTGCCAGTCATTGTTAAAAAAAACAAAAACAACCCTTCACGTTGAACTTGCATGAGGGAAATATCTTTGGGTTGTACACAAATTACAACGTGCAAATCACGTGTTTATGAATCCTTCTTAATTAGTTTTATTATATTTATCGACCTGGTCCAAAGTCCACTCTATCTGAACAAACAATGCCACGGTGACATCATAATCTGTGACAGAAAATGACGTTTGATGATGATGATTAGCATTTTACAGTGTTTATACACACCCTGTCACATGTCATTGTACTCGACTAATGACAACCCATGTATAAAATAGAAAACAGATTGGATATGCAGGTACTGTTAATAATAATCAGTGCTGCCCTTTGAACAGTGCACCATGTTACTCTTAAAGTTTTTGCTGTTTTATTTGCAGGCAGTGGAATGGGAAACATGTCGATGGACCGGATGGGCGGCTCCAACTTTGACCGTATGGGCATGTCAGGGATGGACATGAACCGTGGCTTTGGTGGCTACGGAGGCGGTGGACCGGGCCACATGGGCGGGGGCATGTTGGACAGAGGCTCCGGGTCCAAAGGCGGCTGTCAGATCTTTGTGCGAAATGCAAGTGTGGCTTACATTATTGAAAGCTACTATAGAGCTTAAGAAGACTATCAAACATGAGCGGGGTTACTGCTCCATCTTAAATACCTCCCTGAATTTCATGATAAATATGTTTCCTCTGCACTGATGTCATTGTATTGATTGAGGTTTAATGGGACACACCCCATGCCTGCCATGCATTAACATTTTAAAGTGATTAATTTGTGCTTTATTAATGCACTTCTCATTTCATTTGCATCTTGTTACTGATCCAGATATCATCCAGTTGATCATTTTGACTAAAGTTTTAATTCATTTCCATGTTTTGTGTTGCAGCTGTCCTATGATCTGACCTGGCAAAAGCTGAAAGAGAAGTTCAGTCACTGCGGTATGTCTCTTGTTTACTATAAACTATGATTTACTATGATGATTAGTTAACATGTGTTTTTCTTTATTCACAAACCCTGACTTCTCTCCGACCTTTAGTTATGAATGGCTGTGTAATATTTAAAAAAAAAAGAGGGACATTCATCAACAGCTTGTTGAACGTTGTGCTCTTCAGATTGCCTCATTCGCTCCTGTTTGTCTCCTGCAGGCCAGGTTATGTTTGCAGAGATCAAGATGGAGAACGGAAAGTCCAAGGGCTGTGGAACAGTGAGGTTTGACTCTCCTGAGAGTGCCGACAAGGCCTGCAGGATGATGAATGGAACCAAGATCAATGGCCGAGAGGTGGATGTCCGCATTGATCGCAACGCCTAGAGCTTTTGTAGTAATCATGCTAACACACTTCCACATTCAGCCCTCTTGACGATGATCTTTTGTTTTGTTTTAAAAACACAATTACTTCATATCTCCGTGTGTCCACCGTTTCATTTTTTGTTTATATAAACTACATAGCTCTTTTATCTTTGTTTTGTAAACCCCTTTTTAATTTGTTAGGCAGTTTATTTGAACAAATAAACTTTTTAATTTTTAAACCTGGTGGTTGTAAAATCTTCTGGGATCATCGAAGTCTTGAGTTGTTGTTGTTGTTGTGTCAATGAGATGTTGATCTATAAAGAATTATTGCTCGACACTGCCATACAGTGGCCTGATGATGTGGGGAATTCCACTTAAACACAATGGCAGCAATAAGAACAGAGTGAAAACAGAATCAACATTGATTTTATCAGGCCTGCTCTCTAACAGTTATCACAGGAAGCCATTTCATTGTCCACAGATTGGTGTTAGATATTGATATTGATTGTTAGATTGTCACTTAATTAAACTGGCATGGTTACACATCTAAGTATAGATCAGTGTCTGAAGTCCAATCTGAACTTTGAATGAAATGATAAAAGCAGAGGAACTTATTTTTTTTACTTTGTCAGGAAGAGCAGAGTGGAAAGTTTTTTTTGTGTGGCTCTTTCCGCTTTCCTCCTCACAGGCAATAAGGAGATGCTCATAAAAGCTTATCAGAGGTTGTAGATGTTGCCTCTTTTTCTCTTAACTCACCCACTTGCTTAAAAAGAAGGACAAGGCCACATCAGAATAGTTAACACCTTTATTACTTAACTCTGAGTGGTCAGTTCTAGATTTATTTGACCTCTGCAGTCACTCCTGAGGCGGCACAGTCTCTGTTTATGGGTCTTGAGTAAGACAGAAGACATCTCGGCATTGATAGCTGGGCTTCATTTTATGATAAGTCCATTCTGGATCTCACAGGCACACACAAGCGAATGATCTCTGGTACATTTCCTCTTACAAAGATCATCCTCTTCATGAGATGTGACCAGCACAAGTCTTTACAGCAAACTATCTTTAGAAGCATGTGAGTGGGCTCATGCTTCACTGTCTTGACAATGTGAAGATTTATATACTTGGAAAAAATGTGTTGTGTTTATGGAATGTTAACAGTTTCCGAGAAAATGGCTCCGGTTCTGGAAGGTCAAATCTCAGTCACCGCACAGTTTTATAGGATTATTCCCAATAATCCCCAGCTCATAGAGGATGGACAGAGTGGCAAAGAGGATGTAGCAGAAAAGACAAACCAATCCCAACTTCCAATCCAACTTCCATCCGTTAATATGAACGGCTACGAACAGGAAGACGATGGAAAGGAGGAGTGTGCAGGAGATGTAGACCAGCCCATTGCTGTTGACATCTACAGGGTTGGCGGTGTCCACAAAGACGGTCTTGATGAACCAGGGCAGGCCCAGGCACAGCATGTCGAACACATTAGAGCCCACAATGTTGGACATGGCCATGTCAGCTTTCCCTGATGACAAGAAAATATGATAACACCATGGATGGAAGTTAATCCACACAGAACATCAGTTTATGAATTACCTCTTGTTATCAAAAGGGCTGATATGAAATGAATCTCAGTGGTGTTAATTTTAGAGTTGTTATACTGGGCCTTAAACTAAATCCAGAAACACTTGTTTACCTTCTCTGGCCACCATCACACTGGCCACAGTGTCGGGTATACTTGTTCCAGCAGCAAGCAGGGTGAGTCCCATCACTGTATCAGGAATGCCAAGGGTCTCGCCTGTGCAAACATAGTACCAACCATGAACCATGTCAGAATACCCCTCCTCCAATAACCTCAATCTAGGAAATGAACAGCGGCTGATTTAAACAGTGGTCAACGGGTTAATAAATAATCACTGGAGGCAGGGCAGTAGCGCGGATTGGAGAAATAATGAGGTCATAAGACACAATTCCCCTGGCAGAATCCTACCAACCTCAGGAAATTTCCATAAGCCTCTAACTTGACTCTGTAAAATATGTTTAGCAGTTACAGAACACATTTCATGTTTTACTGAGTTTTTAACTTTTCTGTTACGTGAAGCGTTTCTCCTGCATTCTGTGCTGGGGAAAGAATTCACCGTTTAGTCTTGGAAGTATCTGAATGAGTCTAAAGCTTTATAATCCCTTAAAGTAAACTCTCTTTCATGTCACTATACATCCCCCAAATTAGTGGAAAATTATTAAGGATATGAGCATTTGTCCTCATTGTCAGCAATGAAGCTAATTAGGCGCCATTGTGGGAAAATTTACTTTCAGTAATCTTAATCGCCACCGTTACCCGAGTATTAACCAAATAGTTTGAGCTTCCAGTGGATCATCACACTCCTGCCTAATGCGGAGCAGCAGCAAAACATTCTCCATCACATTCTGAATGGATGCCTCGTACCTGCTCAGTCCCATGCCTCCACTTTCATAACACTACATTTTTCTCCCTTGTGAGCCCATCTGAAGACTACGGCATAATAATCCCATTATGCTTCAGTAGACCTACCACCATCACGAGATGAAGGAGCCGCCCTTACGAGCCTGCTCCTAGGTCAGTTTCATGTGTCTGAACGTAGGGGGGATAGAGCTTCTTTTCAACCCGTGCCTGTGGATAGTTCTTTACTCACACGTAGGGCTCACATGATTGTGTATCCTTCGGGGTGAAACACTGTAATCCTGCTGTGGCTAGTTAGGCACATGGCCCGCTGGAGCTCCAATAAACCTCTCCCTGCCCCCCTTAACTTCGCAGGACAATGGCATCTCAAGAATTAGCCAGCAGACCAACATGTGATTCTACTCTGCAAATGAGACCTTTTTCTCACAAGCTTGAAACTCTTGTGATCCCCTGAGGCCCTGTAACCGCTGAGTGATGGGCTGCTTTACACCTGCTCCTAAACGACTCAGAAAAAGCTTTTATACAAAGTGGTAATAGTGATCTTACCGACGACTGTGACCATCCACACCAGGATGTACGTGAACCCTGAAATCCAGACAGCGGACATGAAGAAGGTTACCATGTACCATCTGTTCCAGAACCTCCTCCTGCAGTCAGGGATGGTGAGGAAGAGCAGGGTGATGATTGGCAGAGACAGAACCCAGAGGATGCGTTTCAAGTCGCTCTCCGGCATTGAAAACACACTTTTGTGCTCTGCTGAGATGACAGAAGAAACATTTAAAGAATGGAAATTTAATCAAAGGTCATACAAGTCAAAGTCCAAGTCAACTTTATTGTCAATTTCAAAATATGCCAGACATACAGTGGGATCGAAATTGCGTTTGTCTCCGTCCCGCGGTGCAATACAACCAAAAATGAGGTAAAAATAAGATAAATAATATTTACAGTAATAAATTCAAACATCAAGTCTTTGACTTGGTACAGGTGGACATGCCATGTTCAAATGCTGGAAAACCAGATCAGGTGTTTTACCTTCAGGAATCTCATTGAGGCCATGCAGGCTGAGGGACAGGTGAGAGTATCCTGAGTCGTCCTGGAAGATCCCGCTGTCTGTCCTGGAGCGACTGTGCACTCTGAGATGGGTGTCATCGTTCCAGCCCATCAGTGGCTGTATCTCAGTCTTAGCAGGTTCTCTGGCCACACAGGTGCAGCACGGGCTGATTTTCCTCAGGACAAACTCGCTGATGTTAAGGTCGAAGCACAGGACCACAATGTAGAGGACGTAGACCATCAACAGACAGGCAGCATCATACCTGTTAACAACCCGAAGAACACACTTTCAAGGGTACATTTCTAACTAAAAGTGCAAATATAAGTGATTAATAGTCAAAAACCAAGCCCCCACTAACTCAACCAGTTATGGAGCTTTCAACCATAATCCCATGGCCTACTTTGAAAGAACGGACCTTGATCTGTTGTCAACAGATGCACCAAATACAGAACCTTTGTCATGTGATAACATCTGAACAAGCTGCTGAAGAAGGCTTTGGAATCACAGTCAGAAGCTCAGGCCATAATCATAATAATAAATCAGATAGACCTTCCTATTGTTTATTAGGAAGGTTTATTATTGTTTACTAACCTAAACACGGCTCAAACTGTCTAAAGTGATCCAGAGACTTCAGAAATATATTTTTAAATGTCAGGGAAACTTTTCTAATTGGTTCCAGTTTCATAATCTAAATCGTTTTTCTTTTTCTGTTGCCCTGCTATAATGATGAGACGATCTTGTTTATGTTTCAAGGTGTATTTGTTCAAGCTGATAATTAGTAATGTTTTTTCAAATGTGTACGACAGTTTGGTGTCTCATTCCTCGTTTTTTTATTTTTTATTTTACAATAAGCTGTGTAATTAATCTTTGCCTTATGCCACATCCCTGTCAAAATAACGTTCTGTATGTGGACTTGCACTATATCTTAGTTTGCTGTCACCAAAATACAGCAATTGGAAGACTTTATTAATGGTGAATGCTGCAATTGCTGCGTTTATTTGAGACATTTATTATTCTGCACTCTCATTGTTATAAAATAAATCTGTGTGTTAGTGTACTGTAGTACAAATTGTTTGTGATACATTTTAAGTTGTTTTTCCTTATTGTCACAAGACACACTAAACTACTTAATTGGACTACCTTTACAGCCAAACGCACACATACACTCACCAGTAAACCTTGTTATCACAGATGATGGCAATAACAGCAGCAACACTGATGCTGTATGCCAGGCAGTCCCTGAACAGTGGCCAGCAGCTGAGTCGGCCTGCCTGATAAATGAAAAACAGTTTCACAGCTTATGAAACACAATGTACACAACTATTCTTCCACTCCGACCCAGTTTAGCTTTTATGTGCTGCTCGTTATGGGCAATCTCTGCATGATTGTTGTCAGTGTGAGGTTGGGACAGGATGTACCATAGAGGCCAAGAGTCCACATGCAGCACAGATTCCTAGCAGGTTGTAGACCGCTGATCCGACGATGGTGCTGATCCCAATGTCTCCCTTTGTCACAAACACACCTTACACAGAAAACACAAAGACAGTTCATCTAAGCTTTGAGGACAGGGTCAATGTTAATGAAAAGGTTGGAATGAGGAAGGAAACATCAGCATAATCAAAGGTCATAGTCACTTCCTGTTCCCATGTGGGTCATGCTACAGTTAAGGGGGGGGGGGGGTAAGGTTAGGCAGGGACAGGGTGACAGTGCTGATGATGCTCGAGTCATCCTCATCATTACAAGGTGAATGTTAATTATTGATTTTTATTCTAATGTATTTTTTACCCA